AGACATTTATTTTCTTCCCCTCTGATTCCCTCCTCTCCACTAATAAAAAAAAATAAAACCTTCATAACAAATGCATATCATCAAACACTGGAATATATCCTAAACGCTCTGAGATTAAAAGTATGTCAGCATTAAAATCTGTATTTGTAATTTGAGATTATAGATTAGCTTGCCAAGTAATACTTTTGCTATGACCACTGATCAAGTAGGGATTTAGGAAAGTCCAAATGACTCCCACTTTCAGCGAGTGGGCTAATAGACTATTGTGCTGACTGAATATCTCACAAAACTGACATAATTTTCCATTCTTCTGGAGGTAGGAGAGGAGAGAGGGAGAGTGGAGCGCATTTGATGAGTCCTTGTAAGACTATGCATAGACTTTTGTGAAAATGTCCAACTCCACAGAAAATTGAGAATATAATTCTTAACAGTAACCTTAAAATTCAGAAACATGAACATTCATGTAAATGGGATGGAGTTAGATAAGAAATCAATATCTCTCCTCAGGTCCTGTTGGGTTGGCTTATGCCACAGAAGTTTGCATGGCCTATTACTTCCAAACCAAAAGAACAATAGGATAAAGAAAGGAAACACTGTGGCTGATATTGGCTTAGCACCAGACTGGGGGCTATATCCAGTGTCCTGATCCATACCTGGCCACTGGACCCAGATGGCTAGGGAGAAGAAAGTGAGACTGATGACTTTGCACAGCCCTGCTTCACTTAAATCCAATTCACTTGCATGTCATGGCACCATCTTCCTGATGTCATGATACTCTTCGAGAACAAAGGACGAACAACAGCAGCGCCAGACCTGAAGATAATGTTGGGAACTCTGATATGGCCACAAGAAGAGCCAGAAAGAGCTGGAAGGGCTGCAAGTGGACCACAGCTGCATCTGGCAGAAAAGGTGGCCAGAAAAAAAGGGAAAGAAAACAAAAGTCCTTCATGTGTCATAGCTATGAAATTTCCACTATTTATGGTCAAGAGCTGTAATCTGGGTGGATCTTCCCTGAATCCTTGCTTGCTTGATCCTTAGCTGTTCTACAGTGTTTGGTTGGGGTTGGGATGGTGTTGGGCAAAACCTCATTGTTCAAACCTTCATACCAGATTTTGAGGTCATATGTTCATACATAGAAATCAGTTTTGACCTAAAATGTTCAAAGCTTTTTAAGGACAACAATCTAGTATGTAAACAGTGACTACTCCTACACCCAAGGACTCTGATTTTTGCTGGTGCTAGATGATAGGAAGGAATGCATGATTATAAACTTCTCCTTCCAGATAGTTAGATGGGAGTGAAGTGTTAATCAACAGTGACAATATAGCCGAGGACAGGTAAGCACATGAGGCAGTAATAAGGTCTTTTACGTTGATTTAGCCAGAAAGGACCTCTAAGAGTCAGCAGAATAGGTGGTTGACTGCATAGAATGAATTTTAAGGATATCTGGAAGATTCCCTTATGAAGAAATGCCCTGAAAGATGAAGAAATAGCTGCAAAAGATATTCCTTTAGTGGGTGACCCCATCCCAATTCCAATCCCACTCACTCTTTTCTCTCATTATTCTTTTCTTTGGTTCTAGAAAATACTCACTAATTTTATGGCAACCTGTCTGTCTACCAGAACAATATTCTATTTGGCACAAAACTTCCTTCTTTCGCTTTCCTGATATTGCTATTTTTGCTAAAAAGGAGAAATTGATTTGTCTCTTCTTGCCAGCTGTCACCGATCAACCCTCAGCATTATCAAGCTTTACTATGGAATTAAAGGGAAAAGTAAAGCAAAATCTATCGACATACAAAATTTAGGACCATCAAGAATGTGAAGAGATGGAGACCTTTTTCAGTGAACTCCTCTGATCTCCCAATCTCAACACCACTCTATTTTCTCTTTAGGTTTTCTTTCCTTTTCTCTGGTTCTAGTTTTTTATAGAACTGGGCTGTCTAATAGAACACAATGACTTGCTTGTAAATTGGATTTAAGTGAGACAGAGCTGTGCAAAGTTATCAACCCTCACTGTCACCTGAGTCCAGTGGCAAGACAAAAGTCAAGTTAATTGGCAATAGGCCAGGATGCGATGGGTGACCTTGGCTTTTCTAAATTAAGGTCTATCCTCAGTCTCAGTTTGCTGAGGCAATGCACATTCAATGACTAAGGGCTAAGTAAGAATCTTCAGGTTAGTAAATTGAGGCTGAATTTGAGTGACTTGTTCAGAGTCATACAGATAATAAGTGTATGAGGCAAGATGTGAACTCAGGCCTTCCTGATTCTAAGACTAGCAGAAGAGAAGAAAATTGTCCCTTCTCCCTAACCCTGCCCCCCAACCCTACCCTCTACCTTGCTAAAGATCAGTCACTTGGTTTTGAAGGGGAGCTATTGGATTAGTAGGAGGCATCCAGAGACACATTCTAGAAAAAGATGTAAAGAAATAGCCACCCAAGTCAGGTAGCAGCTTCAAAAAAAGAGAGACCCTGACAAGTTTGGATCTGTAAAAAGGAAGAGACTCTGACAACTTAGCAAGAGGATTTTACAAAGAAAGAAAGGATTTCTAGACCTTGAATTTACAGCAATTTCGAGCTGTCTTTGTCACATACATATCCTACGTGTTTGTCTTGCTGCCATCGAGCACCCTTTGAGCGCCCCCTTCCTATGGACACTGAGTGTATTTGTGGGAGAGTGCACCCTAGTTTTATGGAAGAATGGTTTTGCAGCTACCGTTCTTGCAATACCATTTGAGTAAATACCTTTGCTAAGAGATCATTGAGACCACTGGCTGATGGATTGTTGATGGGAGGCATATTGGTGAGGACTTGTAATCTAGACACAGAAGGGTCAAATACATGCCCCTCCAAACTCCCTAGTGCAGCCTGAGCCTGATTAAAATGCATTTGGGAAATGGTTAACAAAACTAATAAAAATACAGTGCAACATAGAAATAGTGATGTAAATTAGTGGTTTTCTAAATCAAGATGTGGGCAGAAGGGATCTGTTTCCATTTGAGTTTGACAATGATGGGGATGCGATCTGAACCCCTAAAAGGAAAAGACCATATCTTTGGGATCTGGACCCCAAAAAAGAAAATTCCTGGACTTTCCCCAAATCTCTGACGTTTGCCTGAGGCTGTAATCCCCTCAGTTGGCCTTTTATTGTGGCTATGCCCATCTCCCAATTCTGTTCTGTTGCCTCCAGATTGCTCCTGGCCACTTCCCACCCTTAATCCTATCTAGACTCCATTCTCCTTTGGCCACATATTCCAGGTACCTGGCATTCTGTTACCTCTCCTCAGACTACTTGCCCACTCCTGGATCCCTCCCACAGTCTTTCTGTATGTAAGGTTCATCTTGTCTCCATTAAGGTGCTCAGATTCTTATAATCTAGACAATAGCTCACAAATGCTCGGATTCTTTAAGAATCTGACCAATATGGTAGATCTTTAATAAACCTTGTCTTTGGCTGAAAGAAGGCTTGGGTTGAATTCATTTGGGCAGGATCCACCTGTCATGATTTTGGGGACCCGGCACCCCTAAATCTCTAAACCTCAGCACCACCACTGATCTAGAATATTAAAAAGGTGGCTCCATAGATTTACTCCTAGAACCTGATATAGCAGCCACCCTCTAGGGCCCTAGCTTGTGAGTGCCAGTGACAAGTTGTAGGAATAGTCCAGAGGGCACTACATTATGTAGGGTCTTCACATTTAAAAAAACAATAGTGACATGGTTATAGAGGCAACATTGTGATAGCACAGTATTGAGCTTGGAGTCAGAAAGATCTGGGTTCAAATCATACCTCTGATCTTTAAGAGAACAAAAGGGATAAGCATTCATTAAGCACCTACTTTGTGCCAGGCAATGTGCTAAACCCTTTACAAATATCCTTTCATTTGATCCTTACAACAATTTTATGAAGTAGGTAAGTCCTTATTAATTGGATGACTATGAACAAGTCACTTAAACTCTTGTGGTATCAGGTAGCCCTCTATGATATACCACTTAAGTCAGGGAAGGTTTTCAGTCCTTTTGTGAAGGGAGATTCCCTCATGATAGAAATCACAGATAATAAAAAGAATCTTAGAGGTAGAGCTAGAAGGGCCCCTGAAGTCATTTAATTGAAAAAGCTTCATTTTGTAGTTGAAGAAACTGAGGCAGAGCACATAGGTTATTAGTGGCAGAACTGGGATACTTCCTATAGTTTATTAGCAGGTTGCTCACAGATTGAGTGATGGTTTTTTGAGCCAAAAGAACTGCCAAAGACCAGCTACCAAATTTGCCATCTATTTGGGGATAAAGGAGGAACACAAATAAATGAAGTCATGAATCATTGAAGTATTGCAATTATATTTTTTTTTCTTAAATCATATTGTCAGAAAAATGAATATATGGTTTCAACCACTTTCTTCCAGATCCAAGTTAGTTTATGTTTTCTAACTGAAAATCAAAAAGAAGCAAAACAAAACAAAACACAATGGGAAGAAATCATTCTGCAGAAGTTCTGGGATAGTCCTGAGTAGGTGTACAGAAATAAAGCTTATCCAAGCAGTAGAAGCAGGTGTTTAATGATGAGCAGTTTATATACTTTGGGAATTTTGAATTTTCACCCTCTTCAGTTAACCTTATGGGGGGTAGAGGTGGGGAGGAGAAGGAGACTCAAATTAGTCTTTGTAAATTATTCTGTCACTTATAATAACCCTAAAGCAGTTGTTCAAATCTTTCATGCTGGTAGCATCTGTCACATTAATTGTAGGCAATTACACTAACTCTTTGCCATGAAAATTAGACTTAGAGCCTTCAGGAACAAAAATGAAAAATATGTTTTTTTAAAAACAACCCAAAACTTTTGACTCTGGTTAAGCTTGGTTAAATTATAACAACTTAAATCTTTAAGTAACAACTTTGAACCAAAATCCTAAAATTTTAATATTTAAATGTTCTGGATTTATGCTCTGTAAATATTTGAAGCACACTTTTTTCCCTAAAACTTTGGTATTGATCTTCCAACAGGTATTTACCCCAACCCCAATCCACCCTATCGTCCTCAACCTGGAAGCTATAACAATCCTGGAGGTAAGAATTCTAGAGATTACATGTATTAGATACTATATTTATTGCATTTCAGAAATGGCTTAATATTTTTTACCAGTGAGCTATTTGAAATTTTAGCCTGGTCTTGAGTAATTGTAATAATTTAAAAAACAAAAAGTTTGAAGCAATTGTACAACAAATAAAATGGCAGGTTTTATTTTTTTTCTCTGTATCTTTCCCCACTATCCAAACCTAAAATTAAAGGAAATATATGCCAGATATAGATTAATTATAGTTGAATAAACAAGATAGTAAGATGGAACAACTAAACAAGGTAAAAACAGGGATAAATCATATCATACTCTCCCTGCAGTGGCCAATCATGGATCTTGTCAAAGGATGAATACTCTTTACCCTTAGAACTCAGTTCTCACCCACTTTCCCTCTCCTGTGAAAGCTCCTATCTTTCCCCTCTCTGAATTGGGTGTGTGTATCTCAGAGCACTGATAACCTAACTTCAACCTAGGCACCTACAGGAGCAGCTTTGCAGGTGCCATTGGGAAAAATCTTACCCTAGCTTTCAGCATATTCATCAGGAAAGAACAAAAATTATAAGAATTCATTATCAAAAACAGTTTGGAGAACACAAGGCAGTGAGGCTAAGCCTTGATACAGCTAGCTAGCTAGCTAGATATATATATATATATATATATACACATACATATCTATCTATCTATATATACATCTATATCTATCTATAGATATAGATATAGATATAGATAAATATAGATTATATATATATATAGGTATATATATACATATAGATATAGTTGTGGCTAGACAAAGAACCAAGTAGTGAGGTGCAACCATAGCAGTAAAGTACAATGGCAACAATTAGGCAAGTTTGCTAGTGACAAAAAGTCTGTTCATAGCAGGGCTATGACTAGAACCTGGTTCCTGCAGGTGCTTATCTGAGCTCAGGGGACTGCCTGGAGCTGGTCTGGGCCAATTCTGCGATTTTGCTGCAGCAGAATTCATCCAGAGGGTGAGTGAAAAGGATTGTTGTTATGCCAGGCTCAGGGCACAGCTTACTTAAGGCCTTAACTCTAGGAAATAGAGTTTTCTCCTAATAGTAAGAAAAGAGAGGAGTAAATAGAGGAGTGGTCTTGTGGTGGGAGTCTTGACATCCTACTAATCTTCCCCACCAACCCTCTATTCCCTCCCCCATCACACACAATAGATAGCCAGTGTATTGTGGAGTCTCTGGAAAAAAGGAGAAACAACAGTGCACCAAGGCTATGGGGCTGCCCTGGGGGTGTATCAAAGGCCTCTGAGAGATGTTAATTCAATTTATATAAATGATAGAATGGGATGAGGGTGATGGCCCTGATTATGGGAGATTTAGAAGAATGAGTGAGATGTTTATACTAGGTCAAGAGGACCTGAGGTGAAATCTGGCTTCAGACACATAACACTCACTATCTGTGTGACTCTGGGCAAGTCATTTAACCCCAATTGCCTCACCGAAAAAAAAAAAGTGAAAGGCATTTTAGTTGGCTACAAGGTTAGTGAAAGTTGTAGTATGACTGTCAAAAAAAAGTTAATATAATCTTTAGCTGCATACATAGAACTAAAGAATACAGATTAAGGGAGATAATAGTCCCATTATAGCTCACATGTGGTATATCATACTTATTTCAAAATGCTGCATTTTAAAAAGAGGATTGATAGAATGAAGACAGGAGGCAACCAAGATAGTAAAAAACCTGAAAACAGTATCATAGGAAGACCACATGGGGGATTCATATCCTAGAAAGGAAAAGACTCAGAGAGAGATCAAATAAAGTTTTAAAGAGCAATCATATGAATGAATGTCTATGTAACCCTGTGCCTCATTATTACTTCAGAAATTGAAAAATAAAATAAAATAAAATTGATCATTTTAGTTTTTTATTTTTATTATTTTTTTATTTATTTATTTTTTATTTAAGATAATTTTACATATTATATTTTGCTTTGCATCAACAGGTAACATTAATGATATAGATTTGGATGATGGACGCTCCCCACCCAGACCTAGACCTCGACCTCCAGCAGGTATGATAGATGGTGAATTATTTACATTGTATTCAGTCAGTAAGTTTTTGTTAAGTGCCTAATATATGTCAGGCACTGTGTTAAGCTCTTTTTTTTTTTGGTGAGACAATTGGGGTTAAGTGACTTGCCCAGAGTCACACAGCTAGTAAGTATCAAGTGTCTGAGGCCGGATTTGAACTCAGATCGTCCTGACTCCAAGGCCAGAGCTTTATCCACTGAGCCACCTAGCTGCCCCCAACTGTGTTAAGTTCTAGAGATACAAAGAGAGACAAATGATGAACTCTGCTTTTAAGGAGTTCACAGTCTACTGGAGGAAGACAATAAGCAAATGTACAAACAAGCTATATACAAGATAAATAGGAAATTATTAACAGAAGGAAGGTCCTGGAATTGAGATAAATTGAGAAAGGCTTCCTGTAGAAATAGGGATTTTAGTTGGGACTTGAAGGAATCCAAGGGAAGCCAGTAAGCAGACATGAGAAGGGAGAGCTTTCAAACATAGGAGACAGACAGAGAAAATGCCTAGAACTGAGACAATGTGTTGTGTAAGAAGGCTAGGTAAGGTAGTGGTGGGGAGAACATCATGAAGAGTTTCGAACAAAGAGAGGATTTTTGTATTTGATCCTGAAGGTGATAGGGAGTCAATGGAGTTTATTGAGTATATATGGGAGTGATGTAGTCATATCTGTGCTTCAGCAATATCATTTTGACAGCTGAATAGAGGATGGAATGATATGAGGAGAGACTTAAGTCAGGCTATTTCGAGTAGCCCAGGTATGAAGTGATGAAGGCCTACACCAAGATGTAGCAGTATTAGAGGACAGAAGGGACAATTCAAGATATTGCAAAAATGAAATTCACATACCTTGGTGACAGATTAACTATGGGGTGGGGTGGGATGGGGGTAGTGTGAGAGATGGTGAGGAGTTGAAGCTGTGAGTTTGGGGGACTAGAGGATGATGGTGTCTTCAACAATAATAGGAAACAGAGGGTTTGGGAGAAAACCTGAGTTCAGTTTTGGGCATGTTGAGTTTAAGATGTCTACTGGACATCCAGTTGGAGATATCTGAAAGGCAGTTGGAAATGCAAGACTGGAGATCTAATTGTTAGCTGATATCACTACAGTATGATTCCCTTTAATAACGAATAGATTTTCATTTAAGAAAGCTAGATGGACCAATGGAAAGAGAACTGAGCCTGGAGTCAGGAAGACCTGAATTTAAATCCAATCTCAGACATCTACTAGCAAGTCACTTAACTTCAGTCTGTTTTAAAATGAATATAATAATAGGAACTACCTCCCAGGACTGTTGTGAGGATAAAATGAAATAGTATTTATGAAGCATTTTGCAAACCTTAAGGCACTATGTAAAAGGTAGCCATTATTTAGTGCATGCTGGACAATTAACAAATGTTTTGGAATGATGATGACAATGACAATGATGACAGTACAGAAGATCTAAATTCTGGTGCTTTGAGGTTTAGTGTCTAGGTATCCACTTTATATATGACATTTGGAGGAGCTCTTAAAGTGGGAAAAGTCAATGACACAACAGGGACTTTGGAAATAATAATTTTTAAACTTTTGGTTCCCTTTTAATAATGATGTTACACATTTTTCTCTACCACCTGGAAAAATTAAAACTCATAGTGAAGTATATTATATGTATAATAAAATAAATAGCAGGAATGATACGAATGGCACTTTTATTGTTAGACATAATGCTCTAATTAAATATTTAACATTTAGAATCTTATTTTCAAATGTGTGGTGTTTTCTCATTTAATTAATTCTGAGATTTTGTCACATAGAAAAGAAATAACTTTTTTGGGGGGGGTGGCAGTGGGGTACAAAATCACATCCTAGAAGTTGCCTTAGAAAAGATAATTCTTATTTTTTATTTGGGGTAGTTTCCTCTCTGTAAAAAATATTTTATTCAAAACTCAAATGCACTTAAATGATGGATATTTCTATTTTAAAGATTTTTTAAAAGCATTTAAAAATATAAGCCAAAATTAACATCAAAACCTCTAAATTTATAAATTTGAAATTACGTAAAACTGCGAATTAGGAGACCTGTTGACTGGGTGAGTTTCATAACGCTTCTTATAAATGCAATCATGTATTTCTGTTTGAAGTGTTAGTCCCAATTTTCTTTCCTGTAGGAGGAGGTGGATACCATCCCAATAATTTTGGCAACACTCATGGTAAAAGTATGACTTGGGAAGGCTGAGATGAAACAGCATTTTTGTAGGGCCACACATCTGAAGTGAGCTGTCCCTTACAAAGAACTAATTCTTTCTGCAGGGCAACCCACTGAGTTTGAGCTCTCCAAGCTATTGCTTTTCTGTCTTTGGCAATTAATTATCTTTGCTTCTCTTTTGGGTTAATCTTAAAGACTCGTGGGCTTTGTTGAATCAGCAAGCTTAGCTTATTAGTTGGCATGTCCCTTACTTTAGGAATGTTTTTTGGCTGGGAATTCTGGGCTTCATCTGAGTAAACTTTCATTAATTTGGTGTTTTTTGTTTCCTGCAGGAGGAGGGGGCTATAACTCCAATTACAATAACCATGGTAAATGCATGATTTGAGAGGAAGGAACTTTTTTTTAAAAAAAAAGTTTTCCAGTTATATATGAGCTTTTCCTGTCAGGGAATGGGTTTACATTGTGTATCTGAGGGTCCATTGTTTTATGTTTGCTCTTTCTGCTGATTTCTCCACCATTCACATCTTCACTCTCTGATCATTCTTTTTTTGGCTTGCCATGAAACTGTAGCACCATAGGTCATGGATTTTAGGATTAAATTTAGATAGGATAGAAGCAAAAAATTCTTTACCAACACAAAACTATTAGAATTAGTAAGTTCAGAGATCTTTGGTATACTCAAGTGGTTATAAATCTGCTTTACTAAGACCTTCATTGAAATTTTAAGGGAAGAAACTATTTGATCCTCTACTACAGACCACCTGGCATTCTAGGACCTTGTTGTCCAAAACCCTTGTGGTCCAGAAAAGAAAGCTCTCCTGGCTTCTCTTCTTGGTAGGCCATTTAATATTTCCCTCTAGATCATGATTTCTATGCAGGGCTTGCTAGGAGGGGTTACTCCCCAACCCCACCTTCTTTAAAATATTTATGTTTGTTATTTTAAAACAAATTAACTCAGTAAGTTTTCTAATGGGCCAGTGATTATTTTCTACTAAGCTTTCCCTAAAAAAATTGTTCATAATTATAGATACATGGTAATATTCTTAAGAAAAGAATGGTCCTTCAAGATGGAAAATGCTATTCATATCCAGAAGAAGAACTGATGGATTCTGAATGCAGATAGAGGCAAACTATGTTCACTTTCTTAATTTTTTTCATGGTATTTTCCTTTTGGTCTGTTTTTTTCACAACATGACTAATATGGAAATATGTTTTACATGATTGCACATGTATAACCTATATCAAATTGGTTTCCATTTTAGGAAGGGAGTAGAGGAAGGAGGGAGAAAAATTTGGAACTCAAAATTAAAAAAAATTAATGTTGGAAATTGTCTTTACATGTAATTGGAAAAAAAATAAAAAGCTATATCTTTAAAAAAAAATAAAGAATTAGGGGCAGCTAGGTGGTACAGTGGATAGAGCACTGGCCCTGGATTCAGAAGGACCTAAGTTCAAATCCGGCCTCAGACACATAACACTTACTAGCTGTGTGCCCCTGGGCCAGTCACTTAACCCCATTGCCTACCCAAAAAAACAAAACAAAACAAAGTAACATTAAAAAAAAAATAAAGAATTGTCTGGCTGCTTAGTATGGCCCAAACTTATGAGGTGTGCTACTGTCCTTAGAACCAGAATAGGATTGCTACCAAATTATTCTATTATTTATTATTTATTGGCTTTGCCTCGGTCATGAACAAATAGCAGTGGCTTTACAGAACTTCTCTTGGGAAAACCTTCCTGGGAAAATGTCTTCTTAAGTCTAGCCCTCTTGTCAAAAGAGGAGCACACTGGGGCAGCTAGGTGGTGCAGTGGATAGAGTCCCAGCCCTGAAGTCAGGAGGACCTGAGTTCAAATCCGTTTGGTCTGAGTCAGACCAAACACTTGACACTTACTAGCTATGTGACCCTTGGCAAGTCACTTAACCCCAATTGCCTAAAAAAAAAAAAAAACAGGAGCACACTCTTTTCCCTGTCCTAGATCATTTATAAGGATTTCCACCTTTCTGTAATATCCATGAGTAAGGTAAACAGCATCAGCCCTAAGACTAAGACTAAGAAGATTAAGAAGAATCCCAAAGACTTGAATAAATCAGGGTGAGTCAACTGTTCTTGGTAAAAACACTATTCAACCTGAGAAGTGACCAAACCTGTTTTAGATTACTTGTCTAGGTTGTTTCCCCTCGTCCTTAATGGTGAGAGAGAGAATTCTTATTTCCCTTCATGTTCCTCCAAGTCCAACTAAAAACAGAAAAGAGGACATGCTCCTGCAGAGGAGACAGGAGAGAAAGGAACAAGAATATTATCTTATTTGTCCTACCTCTGGTTTTCCTGAGCCTGGCTTTTAGTGGCCAAGATCCCAGGACACCATTGTAAGATCATGTATTTAAAACTGGAAGGGACCTTAGAAGTCATATTGTCTAAAACTTTCCTTTTCTGGATGAGAAAAATGAAACCCTAAGGGGTTAAATAAATTGTCCAAGGTCACACAGTAGTAAGTAGCAGAACCAGGACTGGAATCTAGGTCTTCTGACTTTAAATCCACTGACATTTCTTCAGCACTATGTTACTAAACAGTTTGATTGGATGAGGTAATTAAAAAAAAAAGATCCCCTTGCATCTGAGATAAGCTCTAATGAATAAGCAATTTCCCTCAAAGAGCAGTTAACTTTCTGCATTATCAGATATAATGTTTTCAAATAATGGCTACATTCATTTTTAGATTAAAAAACATTTTATTGATGTGTTTGCTTTTAATCCATGGCTTATTTCCTATTAATAATGACTCACCCCACTAACAATGAAACCCTCTCTTGTAATAAAGAAAAACTTTTAAATAAAACCCTTAGAGATGGCCCCTGAATGGGTCAACATATACCATTCCACATTCCAAACCCACATTTCTGTCTCTGGAGAACAGCAAGGTATATTTCATCATCTCCAAATAGATATCCGTCCTTAAAATTTAACAAAATTTGACTGTCTTTCAGTGTTGTTTTAATTTACTTTGCTATAGTCATTATGTTTATTGTTCTCTGATTCTGCTTACTTTGCTCTGCATCAGTTAATACAATCTTTCCCATGGTTCTTTGAATTCTTCACATTTATAATTTCTCATGGCAAAATTAAGTTCGGTTTTGTTCACATATTGTAATTTGTTTATTCACCAACTGTTTCAAGTTTTTTGTTATCACAGAAAGTATTACTATGAATATTTTGGTATATATGGGATCTTTTTATTTAATTTTCTTGGGGTTTATACCCCCAAAAATATTCTTATATTTTTAGGTCAAAATGTATGAATAAATCAATGACTTTTTTTTGCATAATTCCTATTTATATTCTAGAACAGTTGGACAAATCCACCAACAGCATATTACTGTGTCACATATCCCTCTAATTATTTTAATTTTTTATAATCATTATTAGGATTTTTAAGTTTTAGTCACAAATTTTCTTCCTTATCTCAAATTTTTCTTAAAGGAATTGATATAAATATGTGGTATAAATAAATAACTCTCTGAATGAAACTCCCATTCTTAGGTATTGCATTTTTCCTCCTAATTATCCAATTTAACACAACTTAGACAACCGTATTTTTCTCATGTTTCTTTAATCAAACCAAAACAAAAATAAACCTTATACAGCTTTTTTGGTTGTTCCTAAACTGTACCTTAGGCTGTGAGGGCTTAAATTTTACTGTTTTGTTATGTGAAATTGATTACTTACTTTGGGGATGAAAACATACTAATTTTTTCAGCTTTTACATCAGGTTGCTTGGGACTGTGCATGCTGCATGAGCAAGAGTGGGGTTTGTTGTGAAGTCATACTTTATTGATAGCTTTTCCAATTTAATGGAATATTTTTCTCTTCTACAGGAGGAGGGGGATATAATCCCAGTTCTCATTATGGAAATACTTATGGTAAATCAATTAATTTGAAGTAGTGTTAAAGATGGAATTAAGAAAAGAGATATCCTGGTAAATGTTTAACAACTGGCTCTCCAAAAAAATATTGCTCAGAAAAAAGTTTAATCTGCTTTGTTAATATTTTCTCCATCACTTTCCTAAGTCTAGACATTCAACAAAACAACAAATCAAGCTCTGATTTGTAGTCTTTGCCAATTTCTGAGAGAGTAAGTGCTTATACTGAAAATTGAACAGTGGGATCTCAAGCCAGTTGGAGCTGGCCCCAGCGCACCTCTGAAAGTAACACTTTTTTGCAGGCCCTGTGGCAGAATATATTCATTCTTCATTGTTTTGTTTATAACTATTGACTAATTAACTCTACATTTTCATATTTTTGTGTTGTCATCACTCACCTGATAGTATTTTGGGTGTGGTTTAGCTGTAATTAATTTTTTTTTATCTAGAATTGTTTTGTAGTCACATTTTTTTTTTCCCTTCTAGGTGGAGGAGGATATTCAGATTATGGAAACACACATGGTAAATGAAAAACTATTTGATTCAGTTCTCCTGTATAAGGGGAAGACACTGTCATAGAGTGTTGGTATGGATAATGCAGGTTTACTATAATGAAAGGGGAGTGATAACCCATCACTCTAGTCTATCCTACACACTGGTGCCAAAGAAATTTTCCTTAAGCACAGATAGGACCATGTGACTCCTCTATTCAATTAATTCTGTTAGCTTCTTATTGTCTTGAGGATAAAATATAAACTCACAGTTTTAGCTTTTAAATCCTTACATCACCGATTCCCACCCTACCTTTCTAACCTCAGTTGACAAAACTCCTCTTCCATCATTCTATGATTCCAACTAATCAAGTCTTTTTAAAGTTCCTCACAAGTGACACTTCATTTATTGTCTCCTATCTTTTGTATTCCCCATCCCCATGCTTGAAATGCACTCCCTCCTTAACTCTGTCATCTCTCAGAGCCCTTCTCTTCCTTTAAAATACAGTTCAGACACCTTCTCCATGAAGCCAATTTTGATACTTAACTTGTAGTGCCCTCCTTCCCAAACTGTCTTGTATTTAGCTAGTACATATATATGTGTATGTATATGCATATATATATATATATACATGTACTTATTAACTTTATGTTTATGCTATACATAGTATCATTAGAGCTCATCTCCTCTACTAGAATATAAGATTATTACTAGTAAGGGATTGTTTCATTCTTTTTTTTTTTAAATCCCCAGCACCTAGTAAGGTGCTTGGCACAAAATGACACTTAATACTTAGAGCTGATGAACTCCTTCCCACATTTCTTAAATGCATATATAACAAATCATATCATGCTATATAGAACTCAAAGAATTTTCTGAGATCATTTTTCTCGTTTTGCAAATGAGGAAACTGAGGCTGGAAATGTTAGATGAAGATCCTACTTGATGTCTCTCTATTCCCTGCAAAGTCCTTCTCTGATATCTTGTAGGATAGAAAAATATATTAAAGAGAAGGGCTTTCAAAAGGCGATGCCAGGACATCAGGGATCTAAGTTTTTTTTTTTTTTCCAATTAATCCCCTGAAGTTTTCTATAAGTATTTTAAAGTAGACTTTTTTTGTCATTATGTTCTAAAAATAATTCTTGTTTTGTTCTTCTCAGTGTCACATGGGTAGCTAGAATGTTATTTATGAATAATGAGAGAATTTCCATCTTTAAGTTAAACTTAAAAAACCCCAACAACTTCTTTTCTTTATCACAGGTGACTCAATAGCTAGAATTGTTTCTCCCATTGTTTCTGTGGTTGTGGTATCACTTATTGGAGCAGCAACCAGCTATTTTGCTTACAACCGGAGGAGAAACTGCTGCCGAACAAATGGTGAGCTTCAAACGAGATTTTACAGATTTATGTTACACAGCTTCACCTCCTTAATCAACTCATTATTCCTCTCTCCACGGTGACTCTTTCTCTCCCAACTCACTCAGTAGAGGACTTTGTCCTATATTGTACAGAAAAAAAGTTGAGGCCATTTGCCATGAGATCCGCCTACTCCCTTCTTTCTCATCTCCTATCACACATATGCCTTCTGCCACTCTCTCCTTCTTCACCATTATTTCACGTGAAGTGGCCTTACTCTTTACCAGACTGACCCTTTTACTTGTTTAAGTGATCCCATTCTATCCCATCTCCGCCAACAGATTGCTCCCTCTGTCATCCTCACTCTCTCCTCTCCTTCTCTACTGGCTCCTTTCCTACTGCCTAACAGCATTCCCATGTCTCCCCTATCCCAAAAAAGCCCTCACTTGATCCTTCCATTCCTGCTCACTATTGTCCCATTTCTCTCCTGCCCTTTGTAGCTAAACTCTTTGTAAAGCTGTCTACAATAGGCACCCCCCACTTTCTCTTCTCTCACTCTCTTCTTAACCCCCTGAAATTTGGCTTCTAACTTTATCATTCCGCCAAAACTGCTCTCTCCAAAGTTACTAATGTTCTTCTAATTGTCAAATCCAATGTCCTTTTCTCAATCTCATTCTTCTTGACCTCTTTGCAGCTTTTGACACTGTTAATCACTCTTTCCTCCTTGATACTCTCTTTTCTCTAAAATTTTGGGACATCATTCTCTCCTGGCTTTCCTCCTACCTATCTGATTACTACTTCTCTGTCTCCTTTGCTGGATCCTCCTCCTGGTCATGCTCTCTAACCAAAAATGTCCTTAACTGCTGTACCGGGTCCTCTTCTCTTCTCCCTCTATACTGCTTCACTTGGTGATCTCATCAGCTCCCATGGATTTAATTTCCAGCCCCAATCTCTCTCCTGACCTCCAACTCCTTTTAGATATCTCTAACTCAGTGTTCAATAAATATCTCAAACCCAACATGTCCAAAATAGACCCACCATCTTTTCCCCTAAACTATTCCCCACCCACCTTCTACCTTCCCTATTACTGGAAAGGGCCACACAGGTTATTGTTTGTCCTTGTTCTCAAAGCGGACCATGACATCAGGAAGGTGATGTCATGACTTGCAGGTGACTTGAACTTAAATGAGGAAAGGCTGCGCAAAGTCACCAGCCTCATTGTCTTCTCCAGAGCCATCCGAGCCCAGTGGGGAGATATAGATCAGGACTATTGGAGATGGCCCTGGATGCAGTGGGAGACTTTGGCCTTTTTAAGCCATCCCCAATTATCCTGTTCTATATCTTGCTGTGGGCCTAGATGACTCTGGAGGAAAAAGTGAAACTGGTTACTTTGCATAGCCCTCCCTTACTTAAATCCAATTCACTTGCAAGTCATGGCATCACCTTCCTGATGTCATGGTCCTCTTCCAGAAGGAAGGACAAATAACAACAACAAAGGGCAAGACCATATTCCCAGGCCCTCAGGCTCACAACATAGAAGTTCTCCTGGATTTCTCACTATTTCTCACTTCCCCTGTCCAATCTGTTGCCAAGGCCTGTTGATTTTACCTTTGCAACATCGCTCAAATATGCCCCTTTCTCTCCCGCCACCACTCTAGTGCAGGACCTTATCACCTCACCCCTGGATTCTTACAAGAGCCTGCTGGTGGGTCTGCTTGCCTCAAGTCCCTTCTCACTCCAGTCCCTTATTCATTCAGCCACTAAAGTGATTTTCCTAAAATGTAGATCTGATCATGTCACTCCCTGTCCCCTCTCATACCCTAATAAACTCTAGTGACTTCATGTTGCTTGCAGGAACAAATACAAAATGCTTTTTTGGAATTCTAATAGTAAGTGGTAAATAGAGGTTTTCTGAAACCCCAGGCCTTCTGCCTCCAAGGGTCCCACCATGCTGCCTCCTCATTAGTACAGTTGTAGAGAGCAATACTTTTCACATTCAGCAATACCAAAGAAAAACCTTAACTTTTTTTCTGTGAAATTTTTCATTCATTTATAATTCATTTTTATAAGTGCATGTAAAACATGAAAATTTTTATTCAAAAAGTCACAAAAGAAATACAAGCTTTCTGCTGAGTACTTTAGCAGGCTAAATAAGGCACCTAGCAGGAGGCATCAGCTCACCCAGAAGCTACACTGAAGAGCTTTGATTTGCCAGGTGCAGTTACTGGGCCACAATATTCATATTTAATTTTATTTTAAATCCATAAAGACAACTCTAAGACACAGATCAGAAAAGAGGAAATGGTGCTTGATCCCAACAACATTAATTAAAAATGTAAATATAGGCCCTAGCCTGGAGTGTTATGGATCTTACCTTTATTTTCCTGTGTGAAGATATAAGAATTGTGATCAGATGTCATATTTTGAGCCTCAATCTTCTGTAAATTGCAAGATGGTCTCCCTCTGCTGGCAGTTGAGCAAGACTGCAATGTCATGCCTCACTAAAGTCAGATCTCTTCTTACAAATTTTCCTAAATAAATTTATGAAAGATAAATTAAACCATTATAGATCATTTTTATCTTAATTTTTGATTGCTCTCCAGTTGACAGGGGCTGCTAAGATCTACAATTTGCCCATCATCCTTATTTGATTTGTGCTTTTGGGGAAAGGGGATCCAAATCTGTGATTTAACCAGTTTAGGGAACTCCCAACGCAGAAACCCTCTTTATAAATGCAACTCAACACCTTCCTATGTAGGAAGCTTCTCTGGAATCAGGAAGATCTGAGTTCAAATCTAGCCACAGATACTTATCAGCTATATAACTGTAGGCAAGTAATTTAGCCTCTATCTGCATCAGTTTCCTCATCTTCAAGATGGGGGTAATAATAGTACCTACATTCTAGGATTGTTCTGAGGATCAAATATACATAAAGCATTTTGCAAAACTTAAAGAGCTATATAAATACTAACTATTATTATTGACTATTATAAGGGGGAACCTAGTACTTCTCAAAGCATACACTTTTTGGCTAACTATCATTTGTAGATTGTTGGGTTTCCCCCACCCTTGTCTCAAGCCCAAATTTTTCCCCTCTGCAACTTCTAACCATTGCTTCTAGTTTAGCTCTCTGGGACCAAGCAAAACAAGTCTAATATTTCTTCCACACATTGACCCTTCAAATACTTTAAGTCTTAGGATCAAAAGCTGATAGCCAAAGGGGAACTTGGAGAACACTTAGTCCAATCTCTTCATTTTTCAGGTGATGAAACAGAGTCCAAAGTATATGACTGGCCTAAGCTTACTAAAGTTGTGATTGTTTTAGTTTGTCCTTCATTCTCAAAGAGGACTATGACGTCAGGAAGATGATGCAATGACTTGCAAGTGAATTGGATTTAAGCGAGGGAAAGCTGTGCAAAGTCACCAGCCTAACTTTCTCCTCCAGAGCCATCTGGGTCCCAGTGGCCAAATATAGATCAAGACAACAGGAGATGGCCCAGGATGCAGTGGGAGACCTTGGCCTTTTTAAGCTAAGGTCTTTCTGAGCTCTTATTTGACTGAGGTAAACAGCGATTAGGGATGTTTAAGAAATGAGCCAAAGGATGGCTCCTTTAATTAAAAAAACAATGAAACTGGGAGTGGGAGACCCTCAGGGTTGTTGCTGGCCAAAAGAGAAACAATTACTATTTACATTCACTCTGAGCCATCAGGGCCCAAAAAATAACCATTAATTGGTCCTTGGCCAATCAAAGAGTTAGAATGAATTGGGTTTCAGGCCTGGTCTTTAAGAAAAAAAATTCTGTCCAATAAAGCCCAAGATATTAATTTACCTTCCTTTGGGCAGAGTACCCTCAGGTAATGGCATGTGAAGAGAGGAGCTGAATTGACCAACTGGAACTGGTCAGTTGGTTCCCAGTGTGGCAGCTCAGGTTACTGAAGTACAATGTTGGGATACTGCACTGCCTCCTGTGACAGCTTGAAGACAGCTATCATATTTCCCCTAGGATTTTTCTTCTCCAGGCTAAACATATCCAATTTCAACTGATACTCATATAGTAAGTTCCAAAGGCTCTCATTATCTTGGTTGCCATTCTCTGGAAAGTCTCCAGCTATTAACAGTCTTTCCTAAAATATGGCATCTAGAACTAAATGTATGATTCCAGATATACTCTGATATGGACAATTATTACTTCTCTTTTTCTGGACATTCTGCTTTTTATAATGCAGTCTAAGATATCATTAGCTTTTGGAGCCATCACACTGGACTATTGACTCTTATTGAACTTTTAGTCCATTAGAAGTTCTAGCTCTTTTTCAGATTAACTAATACTGAGCAAAAACTACTTTATTTTATGTTTGCAAAGTTGACTTTTTGAACTTGTGTAGATTTTGATTTTATGCTCATCTTACTAAAATTAACACAGGCTTTTGGCATGTTTAGGTATTTTTGGATCCTCAATCTGTCATCTAACTTATTAGTTATTCCTCTTAACTTTGTGTCACCTAAAAATTTGATGAATGTGATATTTATTCCTTCTCTAAAATTGTTAGAAAGAGTTGTTAAGTAGCTGGAAATGTGTTGGATTTATAGTCAGAGGCCCAAAGGCTGAATCTGGGCTTTGCCACTTGTTACTCATTTGACTTTGGAAATATCACTTAATCTTTATGGGCCTCAGTTCCTCATGGGTTAAGATGAAGAGGTTGGACAAGATGCCTTCTGAGGTTCTTTCCAGGCCTAGATCTATGATCCCATGGACAAAGGACAGATCCTTAAAACAAAGAGACTTTGTTTTTGTTATTAACTCTATATTAATAGTAATGGTAGTGATTATTTTAGAAGTTTGGTCATTCAAAATCTACCTAACTCTACTACCTTTTTATCTACAAATTTAAATTGTCAAATGCTTTGCTGAAATTTAGGTAAATTATATCAATATTGGGCATTCCAGAGAATAACATTTTCTTTACAATCTTCCTTTTCAGAGACAGAGAATGTCTGAAAGAGGCAGGAATCTGTAATGAATTTCACAAGAACTGGAAAAAGATGGGAGTGGACATTTATCGTGTATGTTATATAGATTTTTTTCTGTGTGTGCAATGAGGACCCACCAACCTATTAAAAGAATTTTCTTCTCCTAAAACATCTGATTCACCTAAATGAGAATTCCAAATTTCTTTATATAATGAGGATACAAGGATATTTATCTGAAGTATAATGAAGCTTAAGAAAAAAAAAGTCTGATTTAATGGATATATTATTTAATGTGGAAATGAGAACTTGGACTCTGTTCCTCGTTCTTAGAAAACCTTTTATAATAATGTATAAATGATTTAACTCCATTTCTTGTGTCATGATGCCTGACTAGCACAGTTTTAGGGGGAACAACTATAGATGCGCATAGTTCCCCAATCCATAGACATTTGGTGGCAGTGAAAAGATGAAGAAGATAGCCCATTCCAATGATATTTTTGTGGAGAAAGTCACCAGCACAAATGATAAGAGTTTTTATTTCAACTGTTCACCTTAATTACGAATGAAATTGAGTTACTTATTTCCAACATTGATAGGAAAACCTGGATACTGCACTGTCAGCAGATATTTCTGTGACTATTAGGGAATCCTTAGTAGGAGAAAACTAAATAACCTTATTAAATTGAGATTATAAATGCAAAGTGCTAAAAACAAAATTCCTAGAGCAGTGATTTTGAACCATTGTTCCATTCTTCTTAGGATTTTTTTTTTAAAATAAAAGCTAGACATAGAGACTATTTTGAGTCATTATAATTTCTAGCTCTTTAATTTGTTGCCATAAGCGCTCAGATTTAATTCAAATTGGTATTCCACTTCCTTCAATGGGATACTTTTGTATCATCACATGTAAATTTTTAAATGCTTTAATCTTAGCAATTATATTGAAATGCTTATATATGAATGTGTGATTTCCATCACTAGAATTCAAGCTCCTTCAGGGTGAAGAGTGTTTCTTTCCTTTTTCTTATATCCCTAGGACCCAACATGGTGCCTGGTACTTCAATGGTGCTTAATAATTATTTTTAATTGATTAATTAATAAGACATATATGACACCAGTTTCTGAAGGAAAACTAAAGAGATGCTTAGTTATTCATGGCAGGTATGCTCAGCAACATTGAAAAAAAATGGCAAAGAGCCTACTCCTTGGTTTAGTACAGTGGAAGAGCTAAATTTTTCACAAGATCTTAAATTCAGAAATGGACCAAATCTGATCCAGCTGCCACCTACTACCTTCACCTACATATTGTTTTGGGGGAATGGGAAAGGGAAATGCTTTGCTGTAAGTGTTTATTAATAAATGAAACTTTATGTAATATAGAATGGATGTATAATTTTTCAAATCCTGTTGAAATCTCACTACCAACTGACCCCATAGAGCTAAAATCTATGAATTGCTTTGTCCTACAGCTTATTGGTTTTTAAGACTTCAACTTAAGAAGTTGGGATAAAAAACATTTCAAAGGATTTTAAACCATGAGAAAGACTGGAAACAAAACAAAACAAAAACACCAAACTGGCTAAAACATTAATGTAGAGTATCATCACCATATAACACTGAATCACATATAAATTATCATGTAATTTGAATTCATCCTCATTTTGTCTCTTATTTAAATGTTTTTCTAGCATTCATTTATGTGTATCTTACATTGAAAGTGTCTAGTACAAATATAATAATAATCACCCTACGTGATAATCTAGTTTGATATCTTAAAAATGTGTTCAACATATATTAGAACATTGTAGGATGTTTGGGAATTTTTTTTAATGGAATTTTTAGTGTCTTACAGGGATGTTATAGAATTGTTCCAATAATTTTTAAAAAATATGTTTAAACAAAAAATAAATCTTTTGCTTGTTACTTAGGTGTTTTGTATTATAAATGTCATTAAAAAAGATTCATTGGGAAAACCATTTGATGTCAAAATTCTAAAACTACCTGCCATTGTATATAGTTAACCTATGTTTAAGTGAAATATACCATCTATTTTTAATTTCATGCAAACGCCTTTTATTTTTAGTAATATATCATATAACTAATCTTTTCACATCCCCATAGATTTTAACAAAGGTAAGTGGGAAATAAGAAGGCTTTGCACTGGTTCCAAGAGACAGTGCCACTAAAATAAGGGCATTTACACATTTTTGGGATAAAGGTGTCAGAAATGAGAAAAAAAGCACTGAATATATAATTAATTTCAAATATAACATGTTAAAAAACTAGTATCAGAGTTCATACTGTCTTCTGAGTTCCTGAGAAGCATTATAGCCACCATGGGAAAGACTTCTGGAATTTAACAGAGGAGAGTGTTCATAAACTAGTAAAAGATTTCCATCCAATGTGAAAGATATTATCTTAAGACAATTAAAAAATTATGAGCATTTATAATCTTTCTCCCCTGTCCCTTAACTGAACAATTAAAAAAAATTGAACTCTCACAAAAATATTCATAATTATGCAAAACAAATTTTGGACTTTGGCCATGTCCAAAAATGTGTATCATATTCTTCATTATAAGAAGCCATCACTTCTCTACCAGAAGGTGGGTGGTGTATGTCATCTTCAGTCCTTTAGATTCATGGTTTATTTTTTATTGTATAGATCAGAATTCTACTCACTTCTCTCTGAATATAGATATCTTCCTCTGGAACTGTCAATCTCATCATTTCCTGACACAATAATATTCCATTATATTTATATACCACAATTTATTTTGCCATTTCCCAATATCTGAGCACGTCCTTAGTTCCCGCTATTGGACTACAATAAGGGAGAGATAATAAAGAATATCTACTAGTAATAACTAACATTTGTATAGCACTCAAATGTTTGAAAAGTGCTTAACATATTTTATTTTATTTGATCCTCTTAACCACCCTGTAAATCAGTCAATCCATAAATGTTTATTAAACCCCAACTATGTGGTAGGCATTCTGCTAATCACAATAGTGTTATTGTTACCCATATTTTGTTGTTCAGTTGTTTCAGTTGTGTCCAATTCTTCATGACCCCATTTAAGGTTTTCTTGGCAAAGGATGTTGGAGCAATTTGCCATTTCCTTCTCCAGTTCATTTTTCAGATGGGAAACTGAGGCAAACAGGGTTAAGTGACTTGCCCAGGATCACACAGCTATTAAGTGTCTGAGGCTAGATTTGAACTCAGGAAGATGAATCTTCCTGACTCTAGGTTAGCACTGTATTCATTATGCCACATAGCTGCCTTATCCATATTTTCCAGAGGAAGAAGTTGAGAGTGGGAGAGGTTAAATAACTTGCCTAAGGTCATATTAATAACTGTCTGAGGCAGGATGTGAATTCAGGTTTTCCTAACTCCAAATCCAGCAATCTATTCACTTACTCACTTGACTGCTTCTAGTAACAGCTAGCATTTATATAACACTTTTAAAAGACTTCCAAAGCACTTTATACATATCTCATTTGAGATTGGCAGCAACCGCATGATCTAACAGACACAATTATGATCCCCACTTTACATATGAGGAAAGTGAGGCTGAGAGTAGTGTCCCTTCCAGGGTCCCTCTAGTAAGTATCTGAGGCAGGATTCAAATTAAGGTTTCCCTGACTCCAATTCTATCCATTGTGCTGCCTAGTTGCCTCTATAAGAACTTCAATAAATATTTTTATTTATAAAAGGACTCATATAAGTTTTTCTCTTCATTCTTTGTTCTCTTTTGAATATAGGTCTAGTAGTGAGATGACTGAATCAAAATTTATTAATATCTGGGACAGGGTTCCAAGTTGCTTTCTAGAATGGCTGGACCAATTAATGGGCCCACCAACAGTTCATTCATGTGAGGATTGAAGTTGGGTTTGAATTCAAGTCTTTATGAAAGGTTTATTTTCTTTCAGTCCTTCCAACAGTTGTTGTTTTCTTCTTTTGTCATATTTGCCAATCTAAAAATGTGAGGATAAATATCAGAAATACTTTAATTTGTATTCCTATTATCATTAGTAATTTGGAGCAATTTTTTTCCTATGGTTGTTGATAGCTTGGATAGCTGTCCTTGAAATCTACTTATTCATATTATTTAACCCTTTATCTTCTGGGGGATGACTCAGGCTTATAAGTTTGAATCAGTTCCTTTCATGTCTTGGATATGACATATTTATCAGAGAAACTTGGCTCAAAGAGTTTTTTTTTCCAGTTACCTTTCATTTTTTAATTTTAACTGCATTATTTTTGTTTTTAGAAAAACAAACATTTCCTAAAATCTTAATTGTTCATTTTATCTTCTATGATCCTGTTTATCTATTGTTTCATCATGTGTCCTTCCTCTAGCCATAAGTTCAAAAGATCTTTTCTTTCTAGTTCATCCAATTTCCTTTCATTAATTTTATGTCTAGGCAATGAAGGAATGTGGTGGTAAATGTTTAATAACCAGATTTCTGGGGAGAAAAATTCTTTGATATAAGAGACGGCTCTCAGGGTGGGGGAGGAAGAAAGATACAGGGGAAAATTTAGAAGATGTAAAGACAAAATTGTCAACAAAATTTTCAAAAAAAATTTAGCATTTACAAAGCCTTCAGAGGACAGAACAGTTTCCGTAGCAGAAATGCTGGAAAAAAAATGATAGAGAGAAAGAGATTGTGCAAAGGCATTCCTAATGAGCATAGTGAGTGTGCATGCCTACGGAGAGGAACATTTCCATTGTCTGGAGTATATCCTAAAAGTTTTATCAAAAATGACCAAAAAAAAAGCTAATGGTTAAGATATTTTCATAGCAGTATTATGTGTAATTGTAAAACCTTCAAACAACCTATATGTTTAACATTAAGAGAATGGTTAAACAAATTGTCAAACACTGATGTCATGGAGTATAATTCATTTAAGATAGACAAGTTTGAAGAATTAAAAGAAAGCTACAAATATCTCCATGAAATAAAGTAAAGCCAAAAGAAGTAGGACAAGAAACCTAGAACACTAAGACTAATTCTGGGCAAATAAAAGAAAAGGTGAATAAAAGTGAATGAGAAAAAGAATGCTGACAGAGATCTAGAATTACTAGAAATTGATGATATCTTATTGACATCATTATTAAATTATTACTGAAATTAATTAATTTTATTATAAAGTATTACTAAGCAAACAGTCATATAGATATTGAGTATTAGGTTAATGAATCTTTTTTTTTTTAATAAAGAGAATAGAAGTGTGGGAGACAGGAAAATAGTAATTCATTCAAGGTCACACAGCTACAGTGTGTGAGAGGTAGGATCTGAATGTAGTTCCATATGTATTTCATGAAGTGACAGAGTTAAAGTTCATCAAGAATTCTTCTAATACACCTGTATACTGGTATCCTCCAGAGCAGGGGTGGGGAACCTGTGGCATTGAGGCCACATACGGCCCTCTAGGTCCTCAAGTGTGGCCTTTTGACTAAATGCAAACTTTACAGAACAAATCCCTTTAATAAAAGGATTTGGTCTATAAACCTTGGACTCAGTCAAAAGGCTGTGCCCAAGGACCTAGAAAGCCACATGTGGCCTTGAGGGTGCAGGTTCCCCAGCCCTGCTCCAAAGCAATACTTCAGGCCTAATCTTTACCTTCAAGACCACACTCTAGCAGACTTACAGTTTTGTCAATGTAAATGTTACTCCAAACAATATTGATCCAACCTCCCTAGGTCCTTCTCATCCTGCCTATTCTGATCCATATTTTCCCATACATCCTCTATGGAAGATCTATGGCAGCTAGGTTGTGCAGTGGAGAGAGCACTAAGCCTGGAGTTTGGAAGACTTGAATTCAAACCCAACTTCAAAGATTTATTAGTTATGTGACTGTATCACTTTACTTCTGTTTGCCTTAGTTTTCTCATCTATGAGATGGAGATAATAATAGCTCCTGTCTCGCAGGGTTGTTTGAGGTTCAAATGAGATACTAATTGTAAAGTGTTTAGCACAGTACTTGGCATATAGTAAGTTTTATGTAAGAGTTAACTATTACTACTGTTGTTGTTGTTGTTGTTGTTACCCAGCATGCTTTAGGTCTCTCTTCTGGTTTTTTTTTTTTTTTTTTAGCTTCTTGAGAGTATCAAAATTCAATATGAACATCCATGGTTTCTCATTCTCATTACATTGCTGGCCCACCTCCTTTTCCTCTCATTTATTTCCTTGATAACATCTTTTATACCACAAATCTTTTGAAAATGATTGTTGTTAACTTGTGGCAATGGGTTTATATTCTCACACATTTTTCTCATTCTTTGTTTTTGGCTTATTTATAATTTTAGTTCGATTCTAGATCAAAATCTTATTGAATTGAATTATCTGGAGTCTCATCAATGTATGCACTAC